GGCGACGCGACGAGGATGCCCAGGGGCCAGCGCCACGAGGGAAGTGAAAGACCGCTCCCAAACGGGAGCTCGCCCGCGCGAGCGCGCTGCCCGCCCCGCCCACCCCCCCGCTGAATGAAGCGGCCTTCGCTGCGGTACCGAGGGCCCAGGCGCGTGCCTAGCGCGTGGCCGCGCCGATGTGTTCGCCGCGTGGGGAAAGAAAGAACATGAAGCGACCCTCTGGCCAACCGCGTCGATTCAACATTTGGTGCTACCCAATAAATCAGAAACTAAATTGCGCCTTTTCGCCTTCATGGGCGGGGCAAAACGTAGGGGCACTATATCCACCACCCGCGCAGCAGTACGGGCGCAGTGCCACAAAAGGACATATAGTTGCTCCAGTGTGTCTCGCGTGGTCCGACTGGGCGGCGCGAGAAAGAGAACAAGACAAACCAACAACAAAACCAACCAAAACAAAATGCACTTTGTATTTTTTAAGGGGGGCCCAAGGCAAACTCCTGCACACCGCGCGGCCGCGCTGCAGCGTCAATTCCTCCGCCGGCATCGGGGGCGCAGCCATGGCAGCACTTTTTGCTATATGGGAGCGCGGCGGTCTGCCGACAGGCGGGTCGACTCGGTAGGATATCCCTACTTGACAGCGCCCACGCCAAAGCGCTGAGGAAACAGGGGGGCGACCCTTTGGGAGCAGGTGTGCGCACCCCTCACCCAAGCCGGCGTCAGACCCGTTCAACCGCACAGGAATGGAATCGCCGTTCGCGTGCCGAGGCGGCCAGATCGCGCTGACGGCCTGTTGTCCCCCGTCGGAGTCCCCGCAAAGTGCCAGCGGCGATCTCTGCCTACACAGCGCGCAGGCCACTGTCCCGAGGGTCTCGGGCGCTCAAAAAGCAGTCTCGCTGCGGCCGGGGGCCGCCCATGACGAGAATATCCGTGCTCTTTTCATTTCGTTTCATTTCGTTTCGTCTCGTGTCGTCTCATTTCATGTCATACACAGCGACAGCGTCGGGCCGGCTGCGCGCCCGGGCCCTCAGCTCCCGCAGCGCGGGCGACCCATACCTCCCCGCGAGGGAGGGGGGAGCGGCAGGCGCTCCCGCGCGGGCTCCCTCCCGTTTGGAAGAGGTCTGCCCCATCCCTCGTGGATGCGGCCCGAGGGCATCATCGTCTTGGCGAGTTGTGGCAAGCAAATTCGTCTTTTCGCGGCAAGTCATGTCACGCCGTGACAGACCAGGTCATCGTCATTGTCATAATCGACACCCCCTCCCCGCACACAGACCCGCACGGCGTCGCGGGGACAGCGTGCACGGCCTCGCGTGCAACCGGCCCGTCAATGAGCGAGTCATCGGAGCAAGTCTTGGCAGGTCGCGACAGACAGACTTGCTACCGCTACTTACCTCCACCCCCCAGCTCTCGCACACTTAGCCGGAAGACAAAGGCGGACAAAGGGCGCCGCACCGCCCGCGCAAACCGGGGGACACACGGGGCCCCCCGACGACCACAAGAGCTGCGGGGGCCGCATCACCACCGTGAGGCAGGTCAGTGGCGCGCACGAGGGAGCAGCATCACCACAGAGAAGCAGGACAAAGGCACGCGCCGGCACAGGCGACGCTGATGAGGACAGGTGGTCGCAGTACCACGGCGGCACACGGCGCGACGGCACCACCCCGCGTCGGCGAAGCATGATTACCTTCGGAAGCCCCGCGGCGTGGAAACTTGTGCTACCACTTTCGGAAACGCTCGCTAAACAGCACAGTGCGTGGAACCCCCACGTCAGCTTACCCCTCACCACGTCTGCTTCGCCTCGGGGCCCCACGGAGAACACAGATCAGCCAGGACACACGAGCATGAACAAGGCAAGTATACGTACACATGATACGCTCACTCGGTGTTCTACCAGACGATGCCCCCTGCCCGTGCTAGGCCAGGCACTGGTCGACAGCCCCTCCGCAGAGCGTTCCCAACACTGCTACGATTCCGACCAACAAGTAGGTGCCCAGCCTGGCACGCAACATGTGGACAGACGAGGCTGCGTCTACACAGGGTAGCAACATTTTTGTAGACAGCGCGCGCAGGCAGGGGACCGCATCACCACTGCGAGGCAGGCCTGCGCACGCACGATCTGCGACAGCCCTTCTACACAGGAGGCCGCAACGCGATGACGAGGCCGACGCCGACACTACGACGACGACGTCGATCGGCGGCCTTGAACGGGCGAAGCCCCCTACCAGTGCAGCGCCAGGCACTAGTCGACAGCCCCCCCCCTCCAGGAGCGGCCACACCCGTGCTGCAATGACAAATACAGGACGAAGGCCCATGGTGCACGACATGTGGACAACGGGGCCGCGTCATCACTGTGAGGCAGGATTCTCGTGGACAGCACGCGCAAGGAGGGGGCCGCAGCGCGACTGTGAGGCAGGTAAGCGCGCACGCTGCGTGCGCGGAGGGGGCCGCGTCGCCACTGTGAGGCAGGACGCGCGTACGCATGCACGGCTTCGGCCTCCTGCGCGCTCGACGCCGCAACAAGGGGACCACGACGGCGACGACGACGCGCCGTCGACATGGGGTTGGGTCGCTACCGTGCGGCGGGATGGGAAACCTGAAAGAAAAACAAGCAAGCATAAACCATAAACGTGTACTTGCGAACTGTCGCCTCGCCACCCCCTCCCGACCGCACTGCCCCGACAACAACGAAGTGGGGCTGCAGCTCCACTTGAGGCAGGATGGGGGACACAGGATTAAGTACAGAGGCAGGAACGCAAAAAGACAAGCAGGAGGTCGACCCACCATCCCGTGAATCCCTCTCTGTATTTGCTGCTGGGGCGAGGCCCCCAGGCATACGGCTGGCTTCGCTGGACCAGGGGAATGCGGGATGTCGGTGGAAAGCGGTCCAGGGGACGGGGCCTCGGCGATGGGCAGCGCGGGCAGCTGATGCTTCGCGAACAGGGGCCAGGTACACATAACGGCACTTAGCGGCCGGGGCGCGGTACACGTTGGGAGCGCGTGTGGCGGCCTCCGACATGCACCCCGCCCCGCTGGCGACGTGTAGTTATATTAGTGCCCCGTTTCGTGCGGAAGTCTATCCGGCGAAACCAGCACGTGCAAAACTACACCCAGTGCCTGGCTCAGTGCAGTTCTTAACGTGCTGGATGTCTCGCGTGGCGATAGGGACGGGGTCGCCCCACCAACAGAGCCAGGAAGGCAAGGGCTGCTGAACGTCCTGCCGGCCTCCGGGCGGAGGTGTTTGATTTGAGCGTCCCAAGGCTATCCAAAACAAATCCAACGGCGGCCTCCGCCCACATCGCTCCCCCTATCAGAGCATCTTGCCTGGTCACTATGTTCCCCATTCCCGCCCGCTGCTTTGCCCTCTCCCTTCACAGTTCTACCTGCTGCCGCCCATTTCCCGGAGCGTTTCGCAATTGCCCCTGGCCCCTGCGTGGCGGCAAACGCCCGCGCCCTCCCGCAGCTGAATCATTCACCTTGCGCTCATCCTCCAATCCACTCGCGAAGCGCAAGTCTTGACCCGACACCGACACTGGCAAGCGACGCGATGCCCGTGCAAACCCGACAGGCGCGATCGGCCCCCTCAAAGGGCGGGCGAACCCAGACGCAAGACGATGTCGCAAAAGTTTGGAATGTGGGGGTCCGCGCAAGAAGTGAAACCACTCGCCCAAAATGTAGCTGTTTGGATGGAGGTCGGGAAATGAGCACCAGCACCAAGACAGGGGACTCCCTCCACAGGCGGGAGATGATCCTAGATCTCGGTGGTAATATTTCGGCCACCTTGAAGCCAGAATACTACCACCATCACCGAGATCGGGATCTTCTTCCTTCGGTGGAAAACACCGCCGATATGGGTGTTAGTGACAACCTCAAGGCCTGCGAGTTGTGCCTTTCCGAGGACGGTGGCGCAGGCGCCGCTGCAGCTCCGCGGCTGGGGGCCTGCCGCCCCCCCGCGCAGCAGCCGACCCGCCGCCCGGGAGGTCGCACGGCTGAGGGCCAAGAATCATGCCACGGCCGCGCAGCCGGGGCGACGGCGCAAACCTCAGCGCGCCCGTCTTGCCCCCGATTCGATGTTGATTGGCTGCGCCCGCGGGGCGCAGGATGTAGGCCGATCGGCAGATCGACAAGTCGCGCCACAGCCCGCCCATATCGAATTGGGGGCGCGGTGGGCGAAAGCAAACATTCCAAAAAGATACCGAATTCTGTCCATCAGCCGCACCACCCACAAGGGGCCCTGGGGGGGCGGATTCGTGCAACCGCCCCGCCGTGCCCCTTGGCGGACACTTGCAATCCACCGCCCTTCGGGGGAAGTCGGCGGGGCTGCCGGACGGCGCCCCTCAGGCAGGCCTGCAAGCCCCCTGCTCCCCCCCCCCCTCCTCTGCGGCATGGCTGCTGGCCCCTGCCCGCTGGGAGAAGGGCAGCACCGTGCTTCCGCCATCTCCCCGCTTTCCCATTACTCCTCTCTCTCTTTTTCTCTTCCTCTCTCTCTCTCTCTCTCTCTTTTTTTGTTTCTCTCTCTCTCTCTCTCTTTCTCTCTCTCTCTCTCTCTCCTCCGTAATTTGTTTGTTTTGTTGTTGTTGTTGTTTTTTTCTCTCTCTTTCTGCCTCTCTCTCTCTCTTTCTTTCTATCTCCCTCTCTCTCTCTATCTCGCCATTCTCGCTGTTGCTTCCTCTGCTGGTCCCTTCTCCTCTCCTAGGACCAGGCAGAGGGGCGGCCCGCCGGGCTGGACGAGCAGGCGCTCGCTGCCCGAACGAGCCCTCCCTCTTCACACCATCGCGGGCCCGCGAGGGACAGAACTAAGGGAACAAAAAATAATAAAAAGTGATATAACTACAAAAACTCGGAGGTCCGCGCGGATCTCTCGGATCCGCGCTGGACCCCCCCTCCCTGGCGCGCGGATCGCGTCAGGGGCGGCGCTGGAGGCGCTGCCAGGGGGGTCCAGCGCGGATCCGAGAAATCCGCGCGGACCTCCGAGTTTTTATGTTTATGTCACTTTCTGTTCCCCTAAGGGTCTTGATCCCCGCCCGGCGGATCCGCAGAGCTTGGCGGTGAGGCTGGAGAGCTCCCTGGCGCGAGTCGGCGGCCACTGCCACGGCCGGGGCTGCCGCTGCAGGACGATGGCGCCTTAGCCGCATGCAGGACAAAGCGAGCGACGCGAAGGCTTTCCTCGCCGAGGGCTTGGCCTGCAAAGCCGTGGCCTTCGTCACTCGCTCGGCCGCGGTGGTGGCGGACGCGAGCGCCCACGACGAGCTTCACAGCCTCTTCCCGCGAAGCGAGGCAGCCACGGCGGCCGGCGCACAGCTTCCCGGCGACGAAACATTGGAAAAGGCTCTTGCACACAGTGCGCACGGCCATCCAGCAAGCCCCACGGAAGTCTGGCCCGGGCTCCACTGCCCCCCGCTTGGAATACTGGGCGACGCGTCTGGCCGAGCCCGCAACGCTGAGGCTTGCTGCCGGGTGTCCGTAATTAGCCGTCCTCCTCGGCGCCCCTCACAACGACTCCACAATCGCCAACCTGGGAGCCCGGCTGTTGGAGCCCTGCTGCCGCTGCGCTGGGACTGGCACAAATGCGCGACCTCTTTGGCCGAGGCACTGCCTGGGGCCGCCGTCTTGGTTCTTGACGCTACCATCGCTGTCCCCGTCTTGGCGCCATTTTGAACTTTTTGGGGGCGGTATGGAGGCCGTCTGGGGCCGTCTGGGCGGGCTCCATGACGGTCTTGGACTCTCTGGTGCAGTCTGGAGACCATCTTGGAATGTCCCTGGGGCCCTGGTCCACCCATGGCTGGGGCATCTTGTTGGTCCCCGGAACGCCTCTTCCGATCCATACATACGTCTAGATAGCGAGAAACAGAGAGAGAGAGAGAGGGAAAGAGAGAGAGAGAGAAATAAAAAGAGAGAGAGGGCGAGAGAGGGAGAAAGGGGAGAAAGAGAGAGAGAGATGGAGACGGAAAGAAAGATGGAGCGACAGAGAGGGAAAGAGAGAAAGAGAGATAGAAAGAGAGAGAGGATAACAAAACATGTAAAATAGTGAAAGGGTGAGGGGGAAACAGAAGAAAGAGGACATCATAACAAACTTTACACATATATATATATATACATATATATATATATACATAAAGCAACACCTGAATACACACATACATGCAGACATGCACACATGCATAGACATACATACATATACACATACACCTACATTCATGTATACACATCTACATGCATACAAGGAATTGCACCTACCTACCTACCTACCTACCTACCTACCTACCTACGTACCTTCCTACCTACATACATACATGCACACATCTGTGTAGTACATGCATGCATATATGCACGCGATCACACATAAATACACATACATACATCCATACATCCATACATACATACATACATGCATGCATGCATACAAAAACCGAGACATACATGCATACATACATACACAGAAACGCGTACATACACATACACATACACATACACATACACATACACATACACATACATACATGAATGCATACAAACATACATACGTACACAGCAATCCGCAATTGCTGATAAGAGTGAGCGGGCGGGCGCGGGGCGGGCGCGGGGTGGGTCGCAGGTGGGTCGCGGGGTGGGTCGCGGGTGGGTCGCGGGTGGGTCACGGGCGGGTCGTGGGCTGGTCGTGGGTGGATCGTGGGCCGGGTCGCAAGTCGGAAGACGTCGACGACGACAAACAACAACAACATCATCATCAACAACAACAAAACATCAACATCAACAACAACGAAACACATCAACAACAACAAACCAGCTGCCGGGTACCCGGTCCCACGGGACCTGGCTGGCCGGCTTCCCAAAAAGGGCGAATCCGGCTGCCGGGTACCCGGTCCCCCCCCCCACCCCCCCCGAACAACGAACAACAGAACAACAAAACAACGCCAAAAAACCAAGCCAACAAAAAACGGCAACTGAACACACACCCTTTCGCACATCCACCGACTCCGCCCTCCATGATGCAAGAATGCACCGGCGAGGCGATCCGTGTGGAATCCCTGCAGGCCCCTCATGGGATCCCTGTACAGTCCCTGCAGACCCTCATGGGATCCCAATGGAATCCCTGCAAACCATCATGGGATCCCTACGCACCCTTACGGGAGCCCTGTGGAATACCTACAGATCCTCATGGGATCCCTGTGGGATCCCTACAACCAATCATGGGACCCCTGTGGAATCCCTACAAAGTTCATGGGATCCATGTGGAATCCTTACATACCCTCATGAGATCCACATAGAAAAAACCTCATGCGATCCATTTTTAATCCCTACCGACCCCTCAATAGATCCATGTGGGAAACCTACAGACATTCATGGGATCCCTATGGAATCCCCAGAAACCCTCATGGGATCCCTGTGGAATCCCTACAGACCCTAATGCGATCCCATTGGAATCCCTACAGACCCTCATGGGACCCCAGTGGAATCCATATTGAATTCCTACATACCCTCATGGGATCTCTGTGGGACCCCTACAGACGATAATTTTTTTATTTGTTTTTTATTTTTTTTAATTTTTTTTTCTCGCAGGACACACTCCTCTGCATATTGGGTGACCGCGGAAACAACAGGAACAGCTCGCGGGAAGGCGCCGGCAAGAGGAGCTGGCCTATCCGCTGTAGCAGCAGGCGCATGGGCACCCACGCAGAGGAGGCAAAAACGGACGTAGTGCAGGAAGGGAAGCCTCGGCATACACGACGCGGTTGCACGAGCTCCGAATCCAAACTGCCACAACGACTAGATCTTCTCCAACGTAGGAAACGGGATATCGAGATCGAGGAGACATCTGGGATGGTGAAGGGGCAGCGCCACTCCGCCAAGGTGGACGGGGGGACGGCTGCGCTTTGAAGTGGTCTGGCTGCCAGAGCATCATTAAAAGGTGAACTGTGTGCCGAACCGAAATGCGCTCCACAGTGCCGCAAGCTGGTACTCGAGCGTTTCGGATCACTCCTCCCCTCCACACCAACCGCACCCTAGGCTGTATTAGTCGCGCGTGCGTTGCGCCCTCCCTCCCCAACCTCCCGCTTTGAAACTGGAATTTTTCTCCAGCTTTGAAACTGCTCCGAAGAGGCGACATAAACTGGCGACTGGTGGCACCGATCTGGCGATTGCCACCTACGCCGACAGGAGGCCGACTCCTGAGAGCTGCAACACATAAGACCGCACAGACGCGACACCCTCGTCCCACCGAACCTGGCCCATCCCGTCCCAATGTCTCACATGACCCACGGCACCGCCCCTGATGACACTTTGAACGGCCGGCAGCAAACGCGAACCCTGGCTGTTGTCACACTGCCAAGGTGGAGTTGACTGCCAAGGCCATGTCCGCACCCTCTGAGCAGCCAATGCTTGCTCATGATTCAAGACGGAGTGTGTCACCCACAAGTTACTGTGTCGTTCAAGACAATGCTGAACAGTACGAGATTCTCATAGCACCTGTCTCTGAACATCTGCTGACGAGAGAACGCGCTCGAGCGCGAAAGGGTGACGGGTCCGCTACTACGGGCGAAATGGTCTTCCGCTGATAATTTCGTCATTGAAAGCCCCTTGCAACGAGATGAAAGGTACGTAATGCCCATGCCTTGCCATCATCAACTCATATGTAACCCAGGCGACGGAACTTGACATTGTCCCGATGAATGCTTTACACTTTGACATGGCAAATATGTCACGCTTGATTGCTCTTGTGGCCGAATCTTTTTCGAATATGTCCGAACCATCAACGTTGCCACGATACTTGGCACGATCATACCCTTGGCGGATGAGGCGTGAAGACCATCGACTCTGCTGGGCGTCCTCAATTACAGCATGATCATCCGTGGCCAAGTAGACGTGTTCGAATGGACCGTACAATATCTCCATGACGTCCAATTGAGTCGAATAGTCCTCGAATTTGAAACAACGCTTCCATGTGTTATATTCATCCTCACACGCATCGTTGTGCCGGACATGCACGGCGACGCACGAGGGTGACATATGTTTGGTTGCAAGCCATTCATCCATTTCTTTGGTTTCAGGTGAATCTTTGTAGAAATACCAGAGGTGCTGCGCATGCCACCATGTCAGCGATCGTTTTTCTGCCCACGAATCATCAGGTATGTCAAATGCAGCGCTCTCTGGATTGCTCCGCCAATTGGCTTCCCCGGGTGCCTTGTAATAGTAATCTTTTGAGCGCATGTACTTCAAGGGATGCGCAGTATACCACTCCTGCCACAATACCTAATCTTCATTATCAGGCGATTGACTGCATCCCTCCGTCCATGGAAAATAGCCCTCGTCGCATTTACATCCACCAAGTTCAACATCATATTTACCACCTGGCGAGCATATCGTGCTTAGATCTGATGCCCCTGGACTTTCTCCTGTTACCTTGACCAAAGCCGGATCGATGTTCTCGATACGACACTGTGTTAACGGCGACAGGGTGCATATATATCCTCGTCCACACTTGGTATCCGTCAAGCGGTACTTGGAATTGCCAACCAATACTGCCGCATGATTGTCCAAATATCTTGCAGCGAGAAATACAAAGTTGTACAAGTTGTATGCGAAGCCATGCACAGTGAACTTTATGAGGTGCCACTCTTGGCTGTTGCACGCTGCAGGCTCTTGTAGCTTAGTGATGTGTTTCCATAATTCATTCTGATCTCGTGACCAATCTTCGTGCGCCTTGTAGTCGTTGTACACGTCTGGAGGAGGCAACCAATATTCGTAATCCATTACATCTGTCACACACGTGCTCGCATTATATGGTATTGACCGGCTGGGGCAACCTTCGGCCGTTCGCAACCACGTATCTCCGTACCCATTATGCGTGTCTCCGCTTCGGGCTCTGGAGTCTTGACTCGATGGCTGAACGTACAGACCGTCAGATGTGAGTGCGCTGCCAAGAAGCACGCGTGCAAGGAACGAACACACATTCATCATGGTACGTAGGGTAGCGTAGAGTATTGTAGCGAAGCGTTGCGTAGCGTAGCCCAGCGATACGTGTTGTCAACCAAGGAATCAACTCAAAATTTGAGCCGATATCGCTTGAGTCAAACTTGAGCCAAAATGGCTACGGAGGGGACCCCTACAGACGATCTTGGAATCCTTGTGGAATCCCTGCAAACTTTCATGGGATCCCTGTGTCAAACATACGCACCCTCATGGGATCCCAATGGAATCCCCGCAGACCCTCATGGATCCATCTGGGATCCCTGCAACCCCTCAAAGGATCCGTGTGGAATCCCTACAGACCCTCATGAAATCCCTACGGAATCCCCACAAATCCTCATGGGATCCCTGTGGGATCCCTACGAACCCTTATGAGATCCGATTGGACTCCCTACAGACGGGACCCCTGTGGAATCACTGTTGAACTTCCTGGGATCCCTTTTAAATCCCTACAGACCCCTCGTGAGATCCGTGCGGAATCCCTGCAGCCCCTCATGGGGTCCTTGTGAAATCCTTACAGGCCCTCATGGGATCCCTGTGGAATCCCAACTGACCCTCCTGGGATCCCTGTGGAATCCAATCAACCCCTTTTGTGGGATCCCTGTGGAATGAATCCCCACACGGCCCCGAATTGGATCCCGATGGAATCCCTGCAAACCCTCATGGGATCCCTGTGGAATCCCTACAGACCCTGATGGGATCACCGTGGAATCCCGGCAAACCCTCATGGGATCCTTGTGGGATCTGTACAAACCCTCATGGGATCCGTGTGGAATCCCTACAACCCCTCATGGGATCCCTGTGGAATCCTTACGGGCCTCCACGAGATCCCTGTGGAACCCCTACGGACTCTCATGGGAGCCCTCTGGAATTCCTACAGACCCTCAGTGGGAACCTGGAAACCTCTCATGGGATCCCTGTGGGCTCACTACAGACACGTATGGGATCCCTGTGGGATCCTCAGACCCTCATGGAATCCGCGCGGAATCCCTGCAGCCCCTCATGGGGTCCCTGTGAAATCCTTACAGACCTTCATGGGATCCCTATGGTATCCTTAAAAAAACCGCATGGGATCCCGACGGAATCTCCACAGACCCTCATGGGACCCCTCTGGAATCTCTACAACCTCTCATGGGATCCTTGTTGGATCTCTACAGGCATCAATGTGATTCCCATGGAATCCCTACAGACCCTCATGGGATTCCCATGGGATCGCTACATACCCTCATAGGATCCCGATGCCATCCACACATACCCTCATAATTTAGATCCCTATGGAATCCCGACTGACCCTCACGGGACCCATGTGGAATCTCTACAACCCCTTGTTATAGGATCCCTGTGGGATCCCTACATCCCTCACGGGATCCCTGTGGAGTCCCCACACACACCCCTCGTGAAACCCACGTGGGATCCCTACAACCAATCATGGGACCCCTCTGGAATCCCTGCAAACCTTCATGGGATCCCTGTGGAATGCCTACAGACCCTCATGGGCCCCAGTGGAATCCCTACACATCCTCACGAGATCCCTCTGGAATCGCTACAGACCCTCATGTGGCCCATTGTGGAATCCCTACGAACCTTCATGGGATCCCTGTGGAACCCCTACAGACCCTCAAGGTGTCCCTGTGGAATCCCTACAGACCCTCGTGGGACCCCTGTGAAATTCAGATTGCCTTCTATGGGATCCCTGCGGAATCCCTACATCCCCTCACGGGATCCCAATGGATTCCTTACACACCCTGCAAACCTTCATCGGATCCATGTGGGACCCCGACAGACACTCATGGGATCCATGTGGAATCCTACAGGCAGACCCTCATGGGATCCCTGTGGGATCCCTACAGACCCTAATGGAATCCCAATGGAATCCCTACATACCCTCATGGGATCCCTGTGGAATCCCTACAACCCTTCATGGGATCCTTGTGGGATCCCTACAGAACCGCATGGGGTCCCCATGGATCCCCTATATGATCTCATCGGATCCCTACAGACCGCTCATGAGATCCGTGTGGAAACCCTACCAACCTACATGTGATCGCTACGGAGTCCATACAGACCCTCATGGGCTCCCTATGGAATTCGTACAAGCCCTCATGGGATCTCTGTTGGATCCCTACAGACCGTCATGGGATCCCTGTGAAATCCCTACAGACCCCCTATGGGATCCCTATGGCATCCCTACCGAACCACATGGGATCCCTGTGAAACGAGACACTCATGGAATCCCGGTGTAATCCCTGCAGACCTTCAAGGGATCCTGATGGAATCCCTACCCTATGGAATCCCTACAGGCCCTCATGGGGTCCCTATGGTACCCCAACAACCCCTCATGGGATCCCTGTGGACTTCCTACAGAGCCTCATGGGATCAGACCCTCATGGGATCCCTGTGGGAACCTTACAGACCTTCATGCCCGACCCAAAGAACCCCCCCTAGCGCGAGCGGGGGGAGCAAGGGCTCGAACCAAACCGAAGCAGACAGGAACATGGGCCCACAGGGGTCGGGAGAGCGGATTAGCAATGGGGGACGGTGTCCCCCCAACCCCCCACAAGGGCGCGGCCGCGGGTCCAGGCTTGTGTCCCGCCTGGCCTGCGGCCCCGCCAAGGCAGCAGGGCATGTGCAAGCCCCCCTGCCGAAATCAGAGTGGGCGTGTGCTCACCCCGTGCCGCCCCAGGCAACGCATGGGCGGGTTGGAGCGGAAAGTCCATCAACGTGCCCGCGCGCGCGGGCAAGCGATGCGCTCCCCCCCCCCATTTGCGCGAGCCACCGCCCGCGCGCGCGGTGCATGGAAGGCGCTGCGAGGCGGCAGCCGCGAGCGGTGGGGACCCCCTCGCCTGACTCGGGTATGGTGACGCGAACGTGGGCCTACCCGGGCCTGAAGCAACCGCATGGGATCCATATGGGATCCCTGCAGACACCTCACATGGGATCCCGATGGAATCCGTACAGACCCGCATGGGATCCCGATGGAATCCGTGCTGACCCACATGGGATATTTATGGAATCCCAGGGATCCGTCCAGACCCTCAGCGAATCCCTGTGGAATCCCTACAGACCCTCATGAGATCCGCGTGGAATTCCTACAACCCTTCATGAGATCCCTGTGGAATCCCTACAGAACCTCATGGGGCCCCTGATGGAATCAATGCCGAACCTCATGGGGCCCCCCTGTGGAATCCCACACAGACACGATTGGTTCTTGCCGGGCCCCATTGTTCTGTTGTTCGAAATTCGAACCCCCCAGGTGCCCGGCAGCCGGCTTCATCAAACACAGCAACAATCACTTTAAGATGTTTCGCTCCCATCTGCTCACGTGCCAATCAATACGTATATCCCAAACCCTCGGTACCCGCCCTCGGCGTCTTCGATCGTACCCCCTTGGGGATATATCTTCCTTACCTGCCACGTGCACTTCATGCAGCCCCTATAACAAGAGAAGAGAAGACGGGCGGAAGGGGCAGGGAGAAGAATGGAGCACGAGAGAAATTAGGAGGGGGCAAGCCCAAATAAATCGTGACATCCACAGCGAGAGCGTGATTCCTGAGTGTCGAGGGCGCGGCGTCTGAATAAATTGCGAGGAAGTCCCGCGCGAGAGCGCGATTCAACTGTACATTTTGAGAAAGTCCTTCGCGAGAGCACGATTTTCAAATAGAAGCTGAGGAAATATCGGGCGGGAGCCGTTGTTGTTGTTGGTGCTGCTGTTGTTGGTGTTGTCGTTGTTGTTGTTGTTGTTGTAAACAGGGGGCCATAGGCCCAGCTTGATGACACCTCACCTGCCCTTGTGAAAAACTGGGTGCGAGCCCCAGGATAAGCACTTTAATTAAAAATGCAATGGTTACCGCGCAAGGGGGATTACCAACATTTTTTCTTTAGCGATGAGAACTAACCAATCCGCACCGCGGAACCCCACTTCCGCCACGCACCCAGGGACAGTGAATGACCGTTCGGTCCCCTTGCTCTGACTTAGAAAGAGAGAGAAAGAGAGAGAGAGAGAGAGAGAGAGACAGAACGAGAGAGAGAGAGAAAAAAAAAACCCAACAACAAAAGAGAAAGAGAGAGATATAGAGAAGTGTAACACAATAAGAGACGAGAAAGAGAGGAAAGAGAAAGAGAGTAAAACATATAGGGGGAGAGAGAGAGAGAGAGAGAGAAAAAAAGAAAGAGAAAGCGAATATAGTCAAAACAAACATTATCGAGAGATATGCCTAGAGCAGCTGATGCCAACAGAGAGCCGCGAAAACTCCGATACGACAACTGATTCCCTAGTCGAGCGATTTAGCTAGCCTGGTGTGCACACACACGCACACACTCACACGCACACATCCGTCGACGCGAGCTCTGAGCTGCGCAGGCACAAAACAAGCACTTGCAATCCCGTGTTGCAAACGTGATGCCTGGTGCGCCATGGGAGGCAGCCACAGCTATCAGCTCGTTCTCCTTGTCTGGTGGCCTGCAGGCGCGCCGCGAGCAGCACCGCACTTGCTGGGAGGCGTAACGTAGCAGGTCAGGCACTGGCAGCATCCAGCGCCTGAGCAGTCTACATGAGTGGCAAGCCGCCCAACACCCCCAATCACAACTGCTGCCGCTATCAAGGACGGGCTTGCACGCCGGACGCTCGCAGACTCCACATGTCTGCACATGGCCCCGTCACGCTCGAGACTGCCGCGCGCAGCACCCCGTCGAACGTGCGAGGAAAGGACATCCGCGCCAGGACAAGCATGAACCAAACCAACAAGACGAGAACGCAGACAAGCATAACACAACTAGAAGGACTCCGAATCAGAAGTCGCAGTGCAGACCCACACCAGAGCACCCACGGGCAAGAACGTATAAGGACGTGCGCACGTGCTTGGGCAAGCAAGCGGGAAGCTTTGCACACTCAGGCAACGATTTGCAAGCTGACGCCGCCTTATCACACTCCTAGAAACATCTGCTCGCACACACGCGCAGAGAGAGAGAGAGAGAGACAAAAAAAGAACGCACAACGAAACAGAGAGAGAGAGAGAGACAAATACATATTGGTGTAGAGAGAGAGAGAGAGAGAGAGAAAAGCAAACAGAGAAAGAGAGAGAGAGAGAGAGCAAAGGAACAACAGAGAGAGAGAGAGAGATGCAAATCAAACAGACAAACATATATATATATATATATATGGAGAAAACGAGGGAGCGAGAGCGAGAAACCAACACATCGAGAGAGCAGGATATCAATAGATCGAGGGACACATAGATACTCAAAACAACGATATATGCATGCATAGTACAGAGGCAGAACGAAGTACACACATAAAGAAAGAGAGAGAGAGAGAGATAAAGAACAAACTGGGCGCGCCCGTCCGCTTAGCATACCAGCGTCTGGGGGCTCGACGGCTCAATCGGTAAACGCGTCGGGGGCGGGGATCCAAAATCATTTCCGCGGGAGGTCGCGCAAAGTACACCCGGGCCAAGAGAGCAGACCGCTGCTGGCCCTGACCTACAGTTGGCGGCGCGCACAAGGGGGTGGGGGGAGGGGGGGAGGGCTTCTTAGAAGCAGGCTGCTTCTTAGAAGGCGCCGGCCTTACGTCTTTAGATAAGGCCCGCGCCTTCTAAGAAGCAGGGGTGCTTCTAAGAAGCCCCCCCCCCTCCCCCCTCTGCGCGTGGCTGATACAGGGCGGGCGGCTGCCGCAGCTAGATCCGCTCCAGCTTGCCCGCCTGGCTGAAAAAACAAAACTCACCACAAGACCAGCGCACCTCCGGCTTTCGTTCGGGCTCGGCCGAGCAGGCGCACGCCGAGAGAAATTGAGCATGCTGCTCGTAGCCCCACAGGAGGTTTCGGCTTGCCGCGTTAGTTGTAGCCTGTTCGCGCTGCCTCTGCTTAATCAGTCTCTGCGTAGCCCGCTTTGACCTGACTCGCCGCCGGCGCGCTCGCCCGCGGCCGCTGACTCAAAAGTAGCCCCACAGGACGCTCAGGCAACGTGGGCGTGAGAGGGACCCATCGCCTCGGGCACGGCCGGCGAGGACGACGCCGCTCCCGTCAGAGTGCTGCCAGCCGACCCCACGGACCAGCCCGCTGCTGGCCTTAAGTCGAGCCTGTCCCCCCCCCTACAGGGGGATTCTCGACGAAAAATAAAAATGATATAAAAGAATAGTCCAAACATAGCCTGGGGACTATTTTCTTAATATCTTTGAACCCTTTTGGGGTATTTTTGGGTACCTTGTATTTTTCGTCAAAAATCCCCCTGTAGGGGGACAGGCCCGACTTCATGCCAGCCTGCAGCAGAAAAACGCCCCTGTGAGGGGGGCCGCCGCGGCGAGGCGCGGCCGTGGCGCTGAGGTCACCCCCGACGTGCGGTGCGACGGCGAGACAGCCGTGGCGAACGCCTCGAGAAAGGGAGGCGCCCGCGAAGCAGGGAGAGGAGAGCGCACGGCACGGGGAGGGGGCTGGCCAGGGAAGGCCAGGCTGCACAGCCTGCAACATGGGGGACCGCTGCTGGGCCGGCGCAAAGACAAGCGCCCCTTCCTGAGAATGCCTCCGCTTCTCGAGGGCACCGCGCGACTGGCCATCGCTCGGACGTCCATTCCCTGTTTTTTTTCGGTTTCGTGCGTGGTCTTTTCGCCAGATGATCGAGGATGCTCCTCGATGGTCCTCACCGAAGGAAGAGTGCACACGTCCGAGCGATGCCAAGGGGGTTGCAACAACCTGGTGGCGGATGCGCGACGCGGCGAAGCTATATCGTACGAGCCATAACATATAGAGTCAATAACCCTAATAAGGACGCGCGGTAAGGACGAAAACCCTTGGAAACCGAAGTTGGGATCTTTGGGGCGGCGGACGACGAAAACCCCGTAAGCGGGCAAGCGAAAGAGGCCAAGGACGAGCCGCAAGAGCAAGGAAGAGCAAGGACGCAAGGGTACCCTGAGCAAAGCCGCGCGTCCTCATTAAGGTTTTTGACTGTAGAATCTCGATTCGCACTCCAGACCGTACGCAGCACGCCAATACTGAACGACTCCAAAGGATTCGCCGACCCCCGCTTGCGGGGGGTGAGAAGGCGTGCGAAGTAATTGGCCGTCCCCCTCCACAATTACTCGACATGTCCCTCTTCCCCTGATGACGTCTTTTGCGTATTCGCCCCCCCCCCCCCCGCGTACTGTTTTTTACATACACACACACACACACACACACACACACACACACACACACACACACACACACACACACACACACACACACACACACACACACACACACACACACACACACGATTCCCCGGAGTTGGGTTTTCGCCTGTTTTTTTTTTGTCAAAATGCTGCTCTCGCTGAGGCGCCGGCCTCATTTCTGCTCCCGAATCGTTCCGAATCGTGCTCCCGCTGCAGCGTGGGCCTCATTTTCGGATCGGTGTTTTGCCTCCGTCGTTCAGGATGGCGTTCTCGCCCCAGCGCGGGCCTCTTTCTCGCGCGCCCATCCGCCCGCCACCACCGCGCCGCACCACGCCCCGCCCCGCCGCACGCACACCCACCGCCACTTCCACCCACCAACGCACGCACGCACGCACGCGCACCACCACCGCGCACCGCCACCACCACCGCACTACCCCACCCACCACCACCACGCTACACCGCGTCACACCACATCACACGCGCGCACACACAGACACACACGCACGCACGCACGCACGCACACGCACACACACATACACACGCACACACACACGCACACACACACACACACACACACACACACACACACACACACACACACACACACACACGCCACCACCACCGCCATCACGCACGTACGCACCTGGCCCACCACCAAACCACCAAGACGCCACACCACGTCACACCACAGCACACGCGCACACACGCACACACACACACACACACATACACACCACCACCACAACAACCACAACCACGCACACACGCACGCACGCACGCGCACCACCACCCACTACGCACACGCGCGCGGAGCCACAGGTCCGCTACGACACGCGTCCGCGGATAGAGAAACTCAGCGCCATGGTAAGGGATGGGAGGGAAAGGTACGATGTCAGATGTTGACGCGAGCGCACCTAACTTGTCATTCCCCCCTCCCCTGGGGCCAACAGTCGCACTGGAGGGGGGGTGCGGGTCCCCCCACGCGCCCCAGGGGTTCTCCGGAGCCTTCAAAGGGACCCAAAGCGACCCAATGAGCGCCGAGATATCCCAAGAGAGTGCCAAGACGGACCAGGGTAACCCCGCGATGGCCCAAGATGGTGTCCACAGCCTACGAGGCCCCCAAGGCGGCCCAAGAGTGCTCTCAGAGGGCCACAGAAAGGGCCCCAACAGGCAACAAGCCACACAATTCCTAGAAAGGGAAGCTTGCATTTTCGACATACGCGCTTCTTTGGTCTTGACAGCGTCCACTGCGGCCCAAGGAGCCCCCAAGATCGTCCCAAGATGATCCATGAGGCCCCCAATCCAAAATTGCCCAATACAGCCCCAAGAGGGCCCCAGGGCCCCCTTACGACGGCCCAGGAAAGTCCCAGGAGGACTCTTAGAGGGGCAATACCAACTGACCTTTCGAATCTTTCTCCCCGCCGTGGCCCCGAGAGCCCCCCAATGACCCCCGAGGCGCTCTCAAAAGGCCCAAAGAGGCTTGCAAAAGGTACCCAAGAGGCCCCCAGGGGCCCCCGAGACTCCCCCAAAAGCCCTCCAGGAGGCTTCTAAGAGGCAATCCCAAACACCCCATATGCATCACTGAGGCTCCTGACTCACAGGCCAGGCACAGAGTTCGACCGGGGTCAGTCATCGCATGGTCAGGATGGTGAAAGGTAAAAAGAATTACGACGACGCGCCCACGTCCTGCTTCCCACCGCAAGTCATGCGTCGCGCAGGCGACGCAGGCAGATAGACACGCAGATAGACAGGCAGATAGAGCTGCGCCGCCTTGAGCCAAGGCGGCAGCGGGCAAAACAAACTATGCAATCGTTCCCCCACCGGAACTCCCCTTCGAACTCGAAGGGGGGGAGACGAAGCTTGCCGCTATACCGCCTTGGTATACATCGCAAGGGGTGCTGCGCAATGCAGAAGGATCAGTAGCTAGCAGGTCCAGCCACCCAAGCAGTGCATCATAAGCGAGATCGGTTGTTGAATCTCAACTACCGGCACAGTGCATAAAAGACGAGGGTGCCTGGAGCTGGAGTCACGCGTCTACGATCTCAACATTTTGGCACCAAGAGGTTTCGGGCGGAGGCAAGCTGGGTGATGCAGCTCGAGCAGGGCGGGTCAGGTTCCGCGACAACGAGGCGCGAAAGTGGGCGCGGAAACGCGCCGCCAGCGATCAGTCGCAGTTCTGCGACAGCCTGGCATGGGGCCAGCAAGAGGCCCCCGTCTCTAGCTGATCTCACCTTCGGTGTGACGTGTGACTGGTGTCCTCCCTTTTTGGCTCACCAATGCTCTTAGTTCACGCTAGCTCTGGCAACTGGATGAGCAGGTCGAGATACGCAAAGAATAAGATATCAACAAGGGGGGCAAAGGCACGCCGTGCAGACACCAGTCCAGCCAGAGCAAGCGCAGTGAGAAGACAACGACACTACAGGGGGCAACAGGCACCTGGACCGCCCAAGCCACACCAACTGACGACAAATTGATGTGTTATCGTCGGAGTCGGATCGGGGAGACGTAAGACTCGGGTACGGGGGACTCCACCATAAAAATTACGAGACCCAATCTGAAGATTGACGCGAGCTCCCGCTGCAAGCATCCCACGAAAACTGGACCGTCAAAATCCAAGACGCGCTCGTCGAAAAACGTCGGCAAACCCGAGTTCGGGCTTACTCGAATCTCACGTTTCCCTGATCGGAGGGTGTATGCACTGGTCGACCACCGGGCAGGGCCCTTCACACAGGAAGAAGAACCGTCGAGGCGCAAGCAGAGGCCGCGAGACCGCGGGAGGAGAACACCGAAGAACGAAGCCGAGCGGTCGAGCTGCGGGCCCCCACGAGAAGACGCGGACGCACGCACGCGCACGCACGCGCACGCGCATGTTTCCATGCAACACCTCAACGCACACACCACAGCCGCGCTACTGGAAGAAAAAAAAACGCCACAAACAGAAACTTTTGACGCCCCGCGCGGATTTCTTGTATCTGGCCTGGACCCCCCTCCCTGGCGCGCGGAGCGCGCCAGGGGCGGCACTGGAGGCGCCGCTGGGGGGGCCCAACGCGGATCCAAGAAATCCGCTCGGAACGCTAAAAGTTTATGTTTATACCGTGTTTCCTTCTTCGAGCGAACGGCGATGTTGGTTAACGATGGTGTTGGGAATCTGATTTCTGTGACACCAGGCTCGCGCAGAACAAATGGTAGAACATCGCGAACCACACTCTCCTACGTTTCGAATGTGCGAACGCATCGAGCGAGAACGACGTAGCGAAGTGTAGGAAAGCACAAGCCACGATGTCCTACAATTGGTTTGGCCCCGAACCAGTCCCACCTACAGTGCCGAAGCCTACGTCGCCGTTACCTACATTGCCGTTAGCGCGTCTACGGACACATCTGAAAACATGATTTACAAAATGAGACCTGCTGGCACGCCTGACACAAGAAAGAATTATGCATTCGGTGGCCGTGTCAGGTTGACCCGCCACGCGTCGGAGTCGTCCTCGACAGCTGCTGGTATCTGTGCGGCCAGCGTGGTACGCATTTTCAGCGTCGCTCGGAGACACCAGCGCCAGGAAGAGCACAATAAGAGAGGACAAGGGCATGGGCAGTTTTTAAAACCATCCGCCCCCCTCATTATGTCCCTCCTGCTTCAACACCGCCTCCTCCTCCTCTTCCTCCTCGTCCTCTTCGTCCGTTACCCCGGTCAACCTCACAGTCACCTTACTCGCGGTTGCTGTTATCTTGTCCCTTCTACCTCTTCTCTCCCCCAACCCCTCTGACCCCCCTCCCTCCCCCCCCATCCCCCTCTCTTCAGTTCCCCGCCTCTCCCCATCCCGTCCTGCTCATCCTCCCCCCCCTCACGATCATCGTTCTGCCTGTCTCCCTCCCTAATTACCTCCGTCCCTCCACTCGCCCCCTCCTCCCCGCTGTGCCGACCGAGGTTCACTCCTCGACTTGGGGAACATGCATGAAAATTCGCATACCCTTACATTTGTTCCAGCACATTCTTCACAAGGGGAAAAAACGACAAACGCGCGCAAGTTGTAACGCAACGTTCGTTGTGTGTGTGTGGCGAACTGCACCGAGGAGGACGGAGGAAGAAGGGGAGAAGAGGGAAAATGAGGAAGAAAGCGTAAGACCACTGAGTCCAGTGAGCTCACAGTGCAGTCGCAGCAAAAGAAGCCGAATAAGAGATAACGCATGAGAAAGAGCGGGATGAGAGGACAGGAATGGACCACGTGCCACACTCGGCATGACCCCTCGTTAGCACCAGGGACATGATGCAGCGATTGGGTCCAAGCATGCTCCAAACCAACACTGAATATCATTGAATCGGGGGCAGGGGGGCGCGTCAAAGTTTGCGCCAGCACCCTGGTCGCGCGGGTGGTGCAGGATTTTGTCAATCAGCCGAAGGGGGCCAGGATCCTGGGCACTCCTGCGTACCATGAGCTTCAAGCCTAACTGGTATAGTGAATGCGAACGTGACCACAACATTCCACACTTCTGCGACGTCGCATTGTTGCCGGACGACTTCACAATGAGGCTTACAAGACAGATGTAGGAAAGAAAACGCCTCCTTCACATCCTCAGCGTCCTCGACGAGCTCAGGAGAGCTCGGAACAATGGCTGACAAAGGAGGGGCCGATGCCATGGCATTGTGCACATACGGCACCTTGAGCAAGCGGCAGACGGCGAAACTCAGGTGTTAAACGACGAACCCATTCGACGTCCGCATCAAAACTCTTCACAAGATGCCCTCATCTCCCTGCCCTACCCTCCCCCTTCCACCAGTTCCGCAGCCCCTCTCCTCATCCTCCCGCTCGTCATCCTTCCGCTCCCTTTCCTCCGCCCCCCTCCTCCTCTGCTTTCGCGACAGCGCAGGGTTTTCAGATCTGCACACTAATTCCTTCAGTTTGAGACGGCTACACAGATACAGTGCGGGCGCGGCCGCAAGAAACCATCGCAAAAAACCCAACCCTGAAAACCCGTGCGCGAGGTACATCTGAGGAGAAAACCAGAGCACTCTAGACGCACCAGCTTCTTTCACGGCCGCGGGAAGTCACCGCGCAGCGCGCGGAGCGAAGAAACCCAGGGTACCCTGACGAAAAGCGCATGGTTTCCTAATGCGCGCCCCCACTGCACTGCTACACCACACTGCAGGGCTCGAGTTAAACAGTGCTCTCCGTTTTCGTTCTGTGTTCGTCACCCCTAGCTCTGTCTTCGCTCCACACTTGCTGCAACACGAAGCCAAAACGAGAACGGCCCACAACATTGCCAAAACACCGTTTAGCTCGAGCCCTGCCACACCGCTACCATAACCAGCCTCGAACTTATCCCTATCCCTGAGATTGACATGCCAAAAGGCGATGACAATCTTAGGGGTGCACCCTCAGAAACTGAGGGAATCCCTAAGATCGCCACCGTGACGAGGCGATGCCCAACATAGGGAGAGGGATCGGTTCCAGGCTGGTGATACCACCTCTGCCCCTCTCCTCCACCTCCCGCCTCCACCGAGCTTCCTGCACATGCCTTCCGCTCTCCTGCGCCCGCCGTGAGGCCCGAGGAGGCTCCCGGGCGGGGAGGAGCGTAGGCGTTTCGACACTGGGCGGAAGCGGGGGGGGGTCTGGCTCCAGACCTCTGCTCAGTGCGACTGCTTGCAGCAGTGCGCCCTCGGGGGGAGGGACTCCGCCTGCCTGCTCGAAGCAGGCGCCTGGAAACAGCCAAGATCCACTCCGGGGGGGGGGGAGGGGGGGTCCGAGGGCCCGCGTGGTTAAAAAAACGATCGCAATACCTCCTGCACGAACTGCTCCTGCCTCACCTCCCCCTCCTCCTCTTCCTCCTCCTCGTCCTCGTCCTCGTCCTCCTCCTCCTCCTCCTCCTCTTCGTCCTCCTCCTCCTCCTCCTTCTCCTCGTCCTCCTCCACCTCCTCCTCATCCTCGTCCTCCTCCCCATCGTCCTCGTCCTCCTCCTTCTCCTCCTCCTCTTCACCCTCCATCTCGGCTCCTCGTGGATAGCTCTTCCCCGTCGCACCGCCAGACGCGCCCGTCGTCGGACCCGCCCCGGGTGCTTCGCTGGAGACCTCCTGACAAGTGTTACTATCCTCCAGCAACTTCGAGGATGAAAAGTGCGTCGCTTTCCGTGCACATCTCTCTCCTTTGCACCGCGCACGTTCGTCGAATTTCGAAGACGGAAGGACGGTCGTTTGTCAGTGGGGCTCGCGCATTCGCACTGCGCATATCGATCTCAAAACTTTGCAGCAGCTTCGAGGATAGAGGGCGGCACGTTTTCAAAATGCTGCATTCGCCTACGAGAAGCGCTGATTCGCTATTGAAGCTAATCACATTTGATACGATGAATCGCGCTTCGTTTCCAAAACGGAGATATCACCTTCACGACGCGCTCATTCGTCTGAAAAGTCTGCAACAGCTCCCAAGATGGAGGATGGCTCCTTTTCAACATGGCGTCCTCGCTTGAAACACACTCAAGCGTCATGACCAGCCCTGTGATACGATGTACCCGTAACACTCATGGGGGCCGCCTCTTTAAAACATTACACCAGGAAAAAACCCAGTCAGTGGATCTTTGATCTTGCTCGCAAGTACCTCAATCGGCCTCCCGCTCGCCCTAGTCAAATTCGGGTATACGTTGTAGTCCAGTCTAGTTATCATGTGTTCCTCTTTCTCTCTCTCTCTCTCTCTTGCTGTCTGTCTGTCTGTCTCTCTTTTTTTTTCAAAGGTCTATCAATACATATTTTCCGGCGCACACGTTGTGTTATACATACGAGCGTTGTTCTCTTTATGTTTCTCGTTCTCCCTCTCTCTCTCTCTCTCTCTTTCTCTATATATATATTCCACCTCTCTCATTATTTAAGGTTGGTTCTCTCCCTCTCTTCCTCCCTCCTCTTCTCTCTCTATAAATTTTCCCCAATCAGCGCTTGCACTGAAGGGGTCCTCGCGGAATGTGAAGGATTTGGCGGAAATTTCCCGCCGATCTTGGTCGCACGCTGGGTTCCCGGGTTCCCGGTTCCGGGTTCCCGAGTTCCCGGTTCCGGGTTCGGGGCCGATTTCGGAGGGCGGCGAGGTTCCCGGGTTCCCGGGTTCCTGGTCGATCTTCTTATCGATCCGATCGGTCCCACCATCGATCTCATTACCCACTTCTCCATCGATCTCACAATCGATCTCACTATCGATCTCACAAGCAATCTCACTAGAGAACGCGTGAGCGATCTGGCGATCGATATTACTCTATCGATCTCATTGAATTGATTTCACTCTCGGTCTCACGGTCGACCTTACAATCGTCCTCACTATCGATTCCACTATCGATCTCATTATCGATCTCACAATCGATCTCAAGATCCGTAGTATTAATTTTCAGATCATCCACTGATTGGGTGTTCTCAAATGAAATACATACATAAATATTCCCCAATCAGTGCTCGCACTGAAAGGGTCCTAGCGGAAATTGAAAAAAATTGCCAACATTTCCCGCCGATGTTGGTAGCAGGCTGGGCTCCTGGGTTCCCGGTTCCGGGTTCCTGGGTTCCCGGTTATTGGTTCTGGGCCGATTTCAGTGGGTTCTGGGTTCCCGGGCTCCCGGGCTCCCAGTCGATCTCCTCAGCGAAAACCATCCTTTGATCGCTCATGCGACCTCTAGTGAGATCGCTTGTGAGATCGATAGTGAGATCGACTGTGAGATCGATGGTGAGATCGAGAGAGAAGTGGGTAATGAGATCGATGGTGAGACCGATCGGATCGATAAGAAGATCGACCAGGAACCCGGGAACCCCGGAACCTCGCCGCCCTCCGAAATCGGCCCGGAACCCGGAACCGGGAACTCGGGATCCCGGAACCGGGAACCTGGGAACCCAGCGTGTGACCAAGATCGGCGGGAAACTTCCGCCACATTTTTCAATTTCCGCTAGGACCCCTTCAGTGCAAGCACTGATTGGGGAATATATCGGAGGTTGGGGGGTGAGATCGCGGTGAAAAGGAGACCCCCCCCCCACACCTGGAAATCGGTTTGGATTCACGCTCGTGTCGTGCGTGCGGGCGAGGCGAAGCTTTATGGGCGGGCATGAGGAATGAACCCGCCGTTGCCAGGGCGAAACCGAAGCAAACATTGCTGTCCCACAGGTTGGCTAGCAGTGGCCCTGTGGTGTCCCGATGGTGTCCCGTGGTGTCCCGTGGCGCGGGGATGCCCCGTGCTATACTATATGTTATGCTATGCTAGCGATCGTGAGATCGATAGTTCTATCGATAGTGAGATTAATTGAGTGAGATCGAAAGTGAGATCGATCGTGAAATCGATAGTGGCATTGGTAGTGAGGTCGATTGGGTGACATCGAGAGTGAGATCGATAGTAAGATCGATAGCGAGATCGACAGTGAGATCGATAGTGAGATCGAGAGTTATATCGATTGAGTGGGATCGATAATGAAATCGGTAGTGAGATCGATCGTAACATCGATCGTGAGATCGTTCGAGAGATCGATAGTGAGATCGATAGTGAGGTCGATATTGATACAGCTCAATCGACAATCAAATCGGCGGTGAGATGAAAAATGAGATCGGGAATGAGACCGATTGACTGAGACGGATTGTGAAATTGATGAAAAAATCGATAATGAGATCGACCGGAAACTCGGGAACCAAAAACTGCAACTCCCAAACCCCGCCACCCACCGAAATCGGTCCGGAACCAGCAACTTGGAACCCCGGAGCCCGGAACGGGGAACCCGAGAACCCAGCCGCCCACAAAAATCGGACGGGAACTTCCGCCAAACCTTCCAACGTCCGCGGGGGCCCCTGCAGTGCAAGCACTGCTTGGGGAATGGAGCGATCGACAGGAACCCGAATGATCCTACAGCCCCGTGCGAAAAACAACTGGTGTTTGGTGAGCCTCCCCGGCCCCCCATTTCAATGTTGATCGCGCGACCGGCGAAGTTTGAAGAAAAAATCGGCACCGCCTTGAACATTGAAATTGGGGGGGGTGGGGGGGGCAGAGGTGTGTAGAAGAACACCAGTTGCTTTTTGCACGGGGGGGTAGTACAACGCGCTGGCAGGATACAAAACCACTTTCTTTTGAAAGCCGAGCCCTCACCTGGATGGCAGGCCCACGGCGCGCTCATTCTCGCATGCGCTCCTCCTCTTTCCTTTCACGAGCACGCGACCAGTGGCTCTTCATCCTCAGGGGCGCGTGGGCTGGTCGGCAACGGCCCGTTGCTTCTGCCATGATTTTCCGCGACAGCCTCATCGACAAAAAAAAGTGGCCCCATTCGATCGGTGCCACAGAAGGCTGGCCTACAAAGGCCAGGAGGAGGTGAAAGAGGAGAATTGCTCTCAGAAGCGTTGGCAAATCATGACAATCTACACACTTTTGTTGGCCAGTCCTGCCAGGGTCGGCCACGCACCTGGCGCTAATGCAAGTGCCCCCACTTCGGCCAGAGCACTTTAGTTGTTCAAAGATGTTGGCATCATCTCGGGGGTAGCTGTTAAGAGGTTTTTTGTCCAATGTGGCTCCAAGATGACCTCCGAAAGCCCAGCGTGGCCTCCGAGATTGCTCAAGATTCTCCAACATGGTTCTAGATGGCTATAATTATTGTTCCGCAAAGCCCCGAGACCGCTCCAAGACGCTCCAATTGGCCATGGAATTCCCCAAAGAGGCCCCCAAGAGTCCCAAATCCGCGCACAGCAATGAAATGATTTGTGCCTTCTCGCGCTTTCGTTTCCGATGAGCTTTGAAGGCCTCACGATGGCTCTACTATTGTCCAAGATGTTCCCAAATCAGACGCAAGATGGCCCCAGCATGGCTCTATGAACACCCAAGAGCGCCGAACGAGGGGACCCTACAAACACCTTCTGGGGTTCCTGAGGGGCGACCCTGACTAAAGAACCCCACTCTTTGGTCAAGGCGCCCAAGAGGGCCCCAACAGTGCCCAAAGAAGGCCCCAACACGGCCCTAAAAACTCACACGATGGTCCCGACCGTCACCCAAAATGGCCCAGGTAAGCTGCCATCGGAAAATCCGCGAACACATGAATGCTTAACCCCTGGGCCTGCTCACGCATATCCCGCTCTTCGGTGTGACGGCTGCCTCCCATCATTGTTCCACTGGGTGCTCCCACGTTCTCGTCAATAATACAACTCGCCTGGGCGTCGTCGCTGGATCAGCTGAGCAAATACACGGCGGGCACCGTCGGGGGGATATCAAGAATCTGCCACAATGTCTTGCACACGCTGGCGGAGAACATGGGGGTGGACATAATGCTTCACCTGCCAGCGTCGTCGAAATGCGAATGCAGCCACGCACTTAGAGCTAAACCGACACATGCATTGCAGGGGCGGGGTAGGCAGGGCACAGAAAAAACAGGCTCCATTTGAAAACTGCTTTCTTCTTCGCCCGGCGAGCGGGACAGACACTCACAACGCCAACGTGGGGAGTGGACGAAGACGAAAAAGAGGAGGAGGAGGAGGAGGAGGAGGAGGAGGAAACAGAGGGGGATAACTGAGCAACGCAAACTGCGACATCGCCAACCTGACTGCGGCGAATCTGGGCCCCCCCTATGGCAAAAATGAGGCACGCTCCCAAGGCGTCGCGCTCATTGGCGACTCATTACGAACAAACAGCAGAAGCACTGGGCGACGGCCACGGGGGACAATGACGAAGAGAAGCTCAGAGGAGACAGCAATATCATCATTGCCACACTGCTGCTACAAGCGTTGCGAGGCGAGGATGCTCGCAACAACAAGCTTCACTGGCGTATCGCCACGCGGCCCCGCGCGCGTTGGAGGTGGCCCCGTGGCGCGTTGTTGTGGGAGCCGCGTAGAAACAATGCGCAGACAGGGCCCTTGCGAGCGATGCCGCTCGCCGAAAAAACGGGACGAGATAAGTGAGAAGCGAGACGGGCGCTCGACGGCGCCCGAACTCCCCGACCCTGGGCCAGTGGACGCCGTGCTTCACGCCGTCGTCCCCGTGTCCGCACGCAGGCGCGCACAGCGCGGGCCGCTGCGCGGCGACCTGTAGTCCAACCGCTGCACAAGACCTGGGACATCGAGGCCCACGCCCGCGGGGGCGCCAGGGGCGCCAGGCCGCGGAGCGCGAGCGTCGCGCGCCCCAGGCGGCGCCCCCGGAGCACGGGGGAGCGGGGGCGGGGGCGAGAAAGGCAGCGGTCGAGGCGGCGGGCGGCGACATGCGGGCGCAGGCCCGCCAGCACAGCCAGACGCCACCTCTGCCGCCCAACCCTCGGCGCCGTTCATGGCGCGCCGCCCTGGGCCAAGAGCCACGACTGACACTCTGGCTGCTGAAGCTTGTCGTTGAAGATGACCTCGCGCGCCCGCGAGATTCGCGACATCTTTGCAGCGGCGCCACCTGCCCCACGCAACCAAGGGATCCGAACGATCGGGGCCCAGCCATATTGCGTCCAATAGCCGAAGACGACGACGTACCCGCAGCCCCCCTTGTTGTGCATTTTCCCAGCGGTGCACCTGGCACTTCGCTGCGAGCGGCTCGCGCCGCGACTTGGGCGTCGAACGTGTCTGACTGGTCGCAAGTTCCGGAGCGCCGCCAGGTTGGTCCAGCAGCTGGTCCGGCTGCAAGAAAGATGAATGCCTGGGGGATGTGCGGGCGCGTAAACATCACACCCTGGCCCAAGGAATGAACTTCTCCAGCGGTGTCGTCCACGAGTGATCGGAGCGCTCTGGGCCAGCGACGACGCTCAAGTGGGTTGTGTGTCGACGGATGGTGGAATCGCTCTACGTAGGCGCGGCCACCTTTAGACGCGCCCGCGCGCCGTCGATTGCTTCTAGCTTTGGCCGGACCCAGACTTTTTCACCACGGTGTAGTCGCAGCCCCGACAGCCCCGCGTACTCGTCAAAACTATGCTCCAGAATGAAAGCGCCCCCTCCTGCCCCGCGGCCAAGGTCGTCGGCGCGAGGAACAATGTCTTGGATGAGGCGCGGGAGCCGCTGCAAAAGAGTCGTACCGCGGCGCAGAGGAGAGGGGAGAAGGGGCGGCCTTGGCGGACCCTCGCGTGGAGCGCGCAGCCGTCGAACATGGACCCGGCGAGCGCGATGCGGCACCCAACGTCGGGTCGGGCGTCGGGTTGGGCGTCGGCTCGGGCGTCGGATTGGGCGTCGGATACGGCATCGGCTAGGACATCGGGTAAGGCGTCGGGCAGGACGTCGGGTAGAGCGTCGGTGTCGGGTTGGGCGTGAGATTGGGAGTCGGGTAAGGCGTCAGGCAGGGCGTCGGGTATGGATTGGGGACGGCGTCGAAGCTGCGGCGCAAACCGAATATATCGTAATATCGGCGCTCTGAACCGTGCATGTGCTGCCCATCCACGCCGGACATGAGCTGCCGCAAGCCGCCAATCCGATGCCCGCATAGGAGGCGCGCCAAACAGCGCTGGGAAGGGAATCCCCCTTGGGCGTCGGCATGCCCGTGGACACCAACAGATGATTCAAGTTCCTGGCCAGGGCCCCGAGGGCCACGACAGCAATTTCTGTAATTCCAGGTGGCGCCGCCGCACTGACACACAAAGACCTCGAGACTGGAGTTGCACTGGCAAGGCCGAGCACGTAAGACGATCAAATAAGAACGGTAAGCGAAATGTAAGCGGCAGACTTGATCCAACGATGGTGAAGAAAAAAATATATGATATGAATATGTGGTCTTCAAGGCTGGTCTGCCCAACTGCTTTAGTGTCTGCCGTGCTGTTGGGCTGTCTGCCAAGCTGATCTACCAGGTTTCTGTGGTCGACTGTGCTGGTCTGATTTGCTGTGCTGCTGTGATCTACCCATTTCGGCACACACCTTACACCTTTCGTGGCTCCATATGTAGCTCCACCGAGGACCTCAACGGGACCGACCGCACATCGTCCCCGAACCAATTTGGGCACACTTTTGAAACGATTCGTGGCCCCATGGAATGCTGAACCTTCCTCCCCGTTTTCTATTGCCTTACGCAATAAATTATGTTTTGAACTACGAATTCTCACACTTGACGAACGTGTTTGGGATGCGTTTGTAGCGTCAAACCAGACCCAATCTGAGCGCAATGACCTCCCCATCAATGCCCGCGCAAGAGAACCAACACGAAGAAGAAAACACAAGGACGTACACATAGAGACCTCCTGCTCCTGATCCATTCCCCCTCCCCCGCGCATCGCGCCGTTCATTTTGGACAGATGCTGCCTGGCCCTCGAAGGCGGCGGCGGCGGCGACATTCTGCGCCGTGCCCAGCCCCGCGAGCGGTGAAACATATTTGTCACAGGCGGGGTGCCAAATTCTATGCAGCAGCACCAAGCCTGAAAAGGGCCCCGATCGGTACATGGTATTACCTGGCACCTGGTTAGGCCAAGGAAAACTACAAGTTAACCCATAGCCCAAGAGGGGCCTGGCCAACTCTGGTGTTGGTGCATACGTGGCACATCCTAACATGGTCAGTCGCCCACATCCTCTCGTATTAGAGCAGAAGGGCAATAAACACACATAGCGGGATGATGCGTCAATGCTAGCAGCAAGAAGGGCAACGGACGAGAAGAAACAATGTCACCCTCTTCATCATGCGAGTGGTCCCCATCCTCCTCATTCCATGTTTTCCTTTGCCTCCTCATCATGTGATTCGTCCTAATCCTCCTTCCCCTCCTCCCCATATGGGGGAAGCAATTTTTCCGACCAGGCAACTATCACAATCCATATGATTTCGCAGCGTATTCGGAGTTTGCACTCGCACTCTGCTTGAATTTCGCCTCACACATATGTATGAATACCTACACTGTGTATGTATGTATGTATGCATGTATGTGCATATTCTATATATATATATATATATCCTCACTCCTCCCCAGCACCAGACATCAATTACAATATGCTCGAAACCTGCTTCACTCTTTGACGCGCTCCTGCACGAGAAAGCGTTCGACGGCATCGCAGGCGGGCAAACACATCGACGAAAACGATCGCAGTGATGTACATCAAGCTCAACGCTCGATTATCACGACGGTCGAAAAAAAAACAGCGCGCCCAGAATACCGAAGGCAAGGAAACAATACATGTCTATGTCAGAGGCGTGCTGCAGCAAGGGTGGGTTCGTGGGAGGCCAAAACTACAGCGACGGTGCCTCGACGTCACTTCAGATCGATCCCACAGCAAGCTAGAATCATCAATCCTCACTCCTTCCCATCACCAGACATCGATTACAATATGCTCGAAACCTGCTTCACTCTTTGGCACGCCCCTGCACGAGAAAGCGTTCGACGGCATCGCAGGCGGGCAAACGCATCGGCGTAAAACGATCGCAGTGATGTACATCAAGATAAACGCTCGATTATCACCAGAATTCTCACCATAAGTGCGACCCTGGAGTAGTCGCTCGACAACTCAAGATGCCCAGGAGAATCTGATCGGGCTGGACATCTGCGCCCGCGCCCCGGTGCCAACACTCTGCTGCATACCACTCCTCTGAGACAACTGCTCAAGAATGCGAGAGTGCTTCTCGTACCGAACAAGTGACGCATGGCTCTTCCAGTGTCCTCGCTGCTGCACCTCCTGGAGCGTCAGACGGCCGTGCAAAATGTCCTCTGACGGCCCACCACGGCGGCCCGCGCGCGGGCACCCCTTGAGAGCGTTGAGCCCGAGCTCCTGGGAGGCCAGCTTGAAATCCTTTTCGTACTGTGGCAATGGGGCGCGAAACAAGCGATCGTGGGGAAGCTGAACACGATCGCACAGCCGCTCCAGGTGATCCCTCACCCAACGGCGGTTCCCCACGCCGACCCCGATGCCCACGTCCATGAGCCCCGTCTTCGTGGTTTTCTCATGCTCCGAGTCGCCCAGCACGATGCTCCACTCGCCCGACTACAGCTGGCCTGCCTGGGGCTGTGGCGGCACGATGCTGGCCTTGATCAGGCCGCGCGCCTCCATGCAGCGGCCTCATGTGCACGTCGTGCTGCAGCGCCGCCGCGCACGCGGACTCCTCGCGGTCGTTGGAGAGCATCCAGTTCACCAGCAGCACGATCGCTGCCTCTGGAAAGCCGTCTCGGACTTGGCCTGGGGCACGTTTCTCCTTGCCGGCCAAAGTTTTGCGGCTCTCTGGGGGCAGGTTGCACTTCTCCGAGCCCTTCGTCTTCAACAAGATCCAAGCGCTTCCGAGACACCGCCCCGAAGCGGGGCCATCGCCCGCCGGGAACTTCTCCGCAAAGTACTCGCACATCAGCCCGTCCACGGTGTTTGTGTCCAGCAGGCGGCACTTCGCGTTGACCCAGCTCTCGAACTTCTCGAGGCTCGCCCTGTACGCCTTCAGCGTTGGCGCGGTCACAATGTCCAGTCTGAGCGGCTGTCTCGCAGGAGCCGCGCGCTGCGGTTCGGCAAGCCGACGGTCCGCCTCTCGGCGCCTGGCGCGCTTGTCCCTCTGCGTCTGCTTCTTTGGCCCGTTCTGCGCCAGCGTGCCCGAAGAGCGCCCCGTGCTCGGCGACGTAGGCCGCGCCCTTCTGGGCCGCGTCGCCGCCCTCTGCGCCGAGATCGCCGACCCCTGGTTCGTTTGCATTGACGCGCGGGCGAAGCGGCTGACTGCGACCATCACGGAGCTCCCGCATCCAGGCCTGGACCCACTATGGCTCTAAGGGGAGCCGAGGGCCCCGAGCTCTCCAACTTCTTGAGCCACAGCGCTGGCTAAGGCGCCACGCAGAGCATCAGGGTAACGGCCAGTAAGTTTCGCCCGAAGAGCCCAACGATTTGCCCCGTCTGATACGACCTACCAGCAGTATGTGTACATGTTGCTTATTACATATCACGGCGATCTGGTCGAAGTACTGCGAGTTTGTCATGATGTATGTTGGCTTCTTGTGGTCTGCATTGTACATGCACATGTCGGACGCGACGAGGTGGGCCTTCGGTAGCCCTAGGAGACCTGCTATAAGAGGAAACTGCCAGAGCCTGCTCGACCGAGGATTCTCCAGAAAAGTAAAAGTAACCCCACATCGTGCACATTCACGAACCACTTCAACACTGAATAAAGCGAACCCAACT